TGCTTTCCAGATTATCTCATGATCAGTTTCCGTCACTGCCAAATGACGTTTCCGTGGTTACTCTTGTTACCTCAGATGGTAAACAACGTCTGTATCATTTTGATGGACCAGTCACTGAAGGGTAAGCAAATATTTTTCGTCTATCACGCATCTGTCGACTCACTCACGACGCTACTGAAGTTGTTCTTAATGAGGGGCTCATCTCAACATTTTAAGATTCAATCGAAATTTTTTTTAGCATTGCAAAAGCTCCTAAATTTTCGTACCTATCAGAGAAAAGAAAAAGTAGTTTTTAGATCTTGGCAACACGAATTGAAAAACCGTCTATTACTTTCGTCCGAAGCTGGTGCTTGTGAAGCTGAGCAAACGGCTGTTTCCACTTGCACCGTTGGAGCTGGGGACTTCCCAAACTTTGACGAAGACACTGTACGTTGTTTTTTTAAAGTATGGGAATAATCATCTTTGAGAGTTTTTCCCCTTCTCAGGATTCTCTTGATACTCTATCAATTTCGTTAGATGGAATTGAGAGTGGCGTTGTTGAAGCTGTACAGTATCTGATTGATTGTGTTGTGGAGGAAGAGGAAAGTGAGCTGGATAACCAACAGCAACTAGAATCCGCACTTGCTAATGCACCACCTGAAGGAGGGCATGTTCTTTTTAGGTGTGCCGTGTTTGTATTAAATCAATATAGCGCTGGCAAATTCTTCTTTAGAGCTGACGAGGAGTCTGAAGCTGAAACTTCTACGACGCCTGGCACAACCCCGAGACCTCGGCATGAGAGCGGCGAACGACCTATGCCAATTGGAGACTCCGTAGCGAGGTTAGAATTAGAGGCATTGTCCAGGCAAATCGCGGCAAATATCTTTGCGGGGCAATCATGTGCATCGAGCTTGCAATTGGCATGAAATTCTCCAGAAAATATTCACAAACCAAACATCTGGATAAAATAGGGGTTGTCAAAGTTTTCTGGCTTTGTATGCTGGTTTATCAAACTTTCTCACGGCGGAGAGACGTGTCAAAGATTTCTCTGTGCGATACTTAACATTTGACATAATTCTGGAATATAATGAAGGATGTGGCAAACATAAATGTAATAGTCTTGCTGATTTTT